TTCCCCGTGTCTGGAGAGAAGTGTGTATGTGGGGGTGGGGTGGGGGGCGGGGGGCGAGGGGGGTAGCAGACGCTTCAAGAAAGTCTACAGGACTCATCCCTGAGACCTTTGTAAGGAAGGACGCAGGGCAAGAGTGGTCACGGCAGAAGAGATCTTGTTGGGACTTTGGTGACCAGTTAGCCCACTGGCCCTCAGTAAGTCACTTCTCACTTGGCCTCAGTCACCCCACCTATGAAGTGAAAGGGTTGGGTTGGGGGAGAAAGGTGTTGGATTCCCTGGTGAAATAGGGCCCCCAAACTGTAACCCAGATCAGCAAGGCCTTTGAGAAGTACCAGCTTAGCCCAGCTCATCCTAGATCCGTGACCCGCTTTGGTAGCAGGGCTCGGTCAACATCCCGGGAGTGAGCACCGGCTGGGCTCAAGCTACCAACCTCCCAATGCTAACTCACTGCCACCCGGGCTCCTTAAAGTTACCACAGCCACCATTGTGACTAAGTCTTTTATGTTTAAACAAAATTTTTTTGATTGAATCCATCATCTTTACAAAATCAAAAACAAACTCACTGCCATTGAGTGGATGCCGACTCACAGAAATCCTACAGGACAAGGTAGAACTGTCCCTGTGGGTTTCCTGGTCTGTCCCTTTTTCTGTGAGTAGAAAGCCCCCACACAGTCTTTCTCCCTCAGAGCACATGGGGATTTCGAACTGCTGACCTTTCAGTTAGCAGCCCAGCATATAACCTCTACACCACCAGGGCTCCTGTCATCCACACAAGTAGGTATTTATTATTTATCATCTATTTACTTCTAGTTTAAAATTCAGAGAAATTAAAAAGAAACAAAAATTACCCCTTCTCCCACCATCCGCAGAAAGCCACTGCGAGTTTACACGTCTATCCATCCAGACAGCCCCCTATATTTTCTATAATTACTCCCCCTATATTTTAAAAGTTGGATTATACTATACTAACTGTCTTTGTTGTTGACTCTCCTTTTTTTATTTTTAAAAATAGTTATATTGGTGTGCAACATTCCCCCCACACCCACATAACATTTAATCAACATCTTTTCAGGTTTGTACATCTGAATATGCAGATAGTCTTATTTGCATTGTTAAGTGAGGAAACAGAGTCACATGGCCAGCACTTGGGCCCATCTACCTCAGAGCTCCAGGGTGGAGGACCCTCAGGCTCTAGAAGGTTTGACTTGGTGGTTGGAATTTCGGAGCCACAGGTCCAGAATTTCATGCTGCCAGTAAGGCTTAGCGACCAGGGGTTCCAACTGTGGCTCAGGACAGAGAAGTGACTCCCTCAGTCTTTTAGCAAACCAGTGGGGTTCAGGCCTTGTCCCCAACATCTAGTTTGGGTGCTGTCCCATGAAGCCGCAGACTGCCGGCTCCTGGGCCCTGGCACGTTTGCTCCCAAGTCCTTTGAAAAGTGATCCTCATCTATAAATAAGCCGCTCACATGTCCCAGCACATTGTGGGGGAATAAAAAAATGTCGAAAACAGCAACTTGATTATGGCCAAGGTATGTATTTTTACACATGCCCCGATATAGTACATGTACAAATATGCTATTCATAAACGCGGCCCAGTGGTAGAAGGAGAAATATGCCTTTAGGGAGCGCACATGTGCACTTAATAAGTGCCCTCTGTCAGGGGAGCTGTGCTTATTTTGGGAACTGATGGTGAGATGAGACCCCGAGGCAATTCCCTTGCACATGGGCTGATTCCTAATAGCAGGGGATACTTTTTCCTTCATGGAAACCAGTCATCCACCAAAGCAATGCTTCCCAAGTTCCAGGCAGTCACCACCCCTGTGTAGGGTGGCTCTGAGCTGGACCACTCACCTGACACTTTTCTTGGCATCAGCACCCTCATTTGGAATGATAACACCTATTGCAAGGTAACATTCTCTCCATGCAGTTCAACGGGCCACTAGCAATGCGTGCCGTAAATAGAAGGGAGCCAAACACCTAACCACTGGGATGACAAACGTGGGACTGGATCCACAGGGAATCATGTTGCTACCTCCACTCACTCACACTTTACAAGACGTGAAACTAACAGACTTGAATAACCTGGGTTCCCTGGGCCAGCCTCTGCTCTACCCACTCCCAGGATTCCCTGGGCCAGCCTCTGCTCTACCCACTCCCAGGATTCATTGTGTCCGTCAACTTCCTAGGGGCCTTGGCTAGTATCACTTGTGCCAGGATGGGTTTCTAAAAGGCTTAGAGTGAGGGCTTGGTGGCCATCAGGAAACTCAGAGAAGCTCTGTCATTTCTTCTGCATCCTTGAATCTCTGGCCCCAAGTGGCCTTTGGGGACTGAGTTGCAGGCCCAGGCTTGGGTTTACTAAAAGCAGGTTCCTTTCCTTTTGAATAGAGGTTTTCATTCTAGAACTATTTATTTCATTTTATTTGAAATTCAAATTTATTTTTAAAGCATAAAATACACTAGCTTTGCAGGGAAAAAGAAGAAAATGTTACCTGCCAACTGAGCCCTGGTGGTGTAGTGGTTACAAGTTGGGCTGCTAACCACAGGTCAGCAGTTTGAAACCACCAGCTGGTCCTTTGAAGAAAGAGGAGGCTTTCTGCTCCCATAAAGAGTCACAGTCTCAGAAACCCACGGGCAGTTTCACCCTGCCCTCCAGGGTTCTGTGGGTCGGCATTGACTAATGCCGGTGAATTCGTGTTTGAACCAACTGAGCACACCTAGGACCGCGTGAAGGGCTCTCTTCCTGCCTTTCAGAGGATGTACGTGTTTTACACCATTGTGCCCATGCGTTCAGAGGTCACAGTTCATAAGCCGTGTGGACGTTCTTTATCTATATGAGCCTCACAGCACATCAAGAGGGCTAGGGGGCTGAGAGAGCAGGGCAGGCGTTTTGTAACCCTTTTTTTTTTACAGAGAAGAACCTGAGGCCCTGACATGGGGTGCCACTAGCTCAAACTCGTAGAGTTGGGACCGGCTTTTTGTGCTGGAGCCGCACAACAGTGTACCAGGGCACAGACTTTTGTGTTTTGCTTTTCATTGATTTTGAACGATCGCACATGCATTTGTAAAGAAAAAGAAAACAGCATAGTGAGTCAGAGTCCTCCTGACGGCATTTCACTCCCAGAGCAAAGCCCCGCCCCTGTCCCGGAGCTTCTCGGTGCCGCTCCTAACACGTCTCATTGGTTTCGTTTCCCAACGTGGAATTGCTTCGTCGACAGCGTGACAGCCCCATTTACCAATCTATCTTGCATATCTTCCCAAGGACAGAACTTCTAAAAACACATTTCTTTTTATTCTTTTAATCATT